TAGATTCTGATTTTTTGGATACGTCAATTTTTGACCTAGGGGGCTCAAAATCATAACAGTTCTTGCTTCTTATAAAACAAAGTTTCAATTAAAATTTGAGCCTCCTAGCTCAATCCGTTCATGAGGTATCGTGCGTACAGACAAACAAAGAAACAAACACGAAATTTTTTGATCATGATGATGATCCAGTGCACTGGAGCAATAGGCTTCGCTAATCGTGTAGCCAATAACGACTGTTATCTTGCTTGACATTTTGACTTGTAGAGCGGTACTGTGCTTCATTGAGTTATCGCGAATCCTGTTATGCAAGACATAGCCGGGCGTACGCATGCCAAGTTCAGTGAAAGACGCCTAGCTCCTGCACCGACGGCAGATACAAATTTGCGAAGAAAAACAAAGGACAGGAGCGACTCCCATATCTCCACTACGCCGGTGTCAACTCTACTCACGTAGTTTATCTCATTTGTATTTCCTGCGAGGAGTTGAAATAAGTAGAAGCAGGTAAGCGGTGAGATGCGTCCACACAGATTGTATACCACTGAATGGACGGCAGGGTTCATGAAGGCAAGTTCGTTGTGCAGCGTAATGGCTCCCACGGCCTGTGAAACAAAACAACGCAAATAATAACAGCCAAATTAATCACACTAACTTGACTGTTTATGTACTTGTTTCCGCGCACGCATGTACAGATCGGGGCAGACAGTTACGGAGTTATATACTTTACTTTGTCCAAAATTGTTCATGATTATGCAGAACTTTGTACAGATGTATAACTATCTACAACAAACAGAACCTGTTTCAGATCAGTTTTTTGTATTCCCGTCCGATACCCAAGCACGCAGGTTTTCGAACAATAACAGCCTAAAAGGTTAGATCTTCCTTAGCAAAACGCAATTTCATTGGTATCCGTAACTGCACTCCTTTCTGAGATAGGACAGTTTGAGTTTGGAAGTGACTGTGAATCAAAATGTAGTCCTTGCACTATAACGCCATCCAAAACACTTTTTAAATTCTGGATGCGGTTATATGCGTGTTTTTTTGTGCATTATCGACTCCCTCTACTTTTAAAATTGTGCACTAATTTAAACGAGAGCAGCACGCGCGCTTGGGGCGGACTGCTCAGAGCAAAGTGTTCATTGTTTAGCTGTTACCCAGACGCTGCTCCAAAAGACAGAGGTGGTGTAGACCCATGACGTTGTAGTACCTACTAGGTTAGGACTAGTCGGACAAGAAAGGGAGGACCTTCTTTCATGCTTGGAGAGTGTGCGACAACTTTTCAAAAATTTATGGCCTTACATCACAGTTAAGCTCCTAGTTGACTGAGCGAAACTTATAGGGTATTGGTCTAGAGCGCTGAGCGGAAGTAGAAGAACAAAAACGGAAGGTGAAAAGGTGCCCGTGCCGTCCCCCTCTCCTCCACTGGGCGGAGTGGGGGAGCGCCCGGGGAGAAGAGGAGGCGGCAGGCGGGGAGGAGTGCGGGCGCCTTTCCACCTTCCGTTTTTGTTCTTCTACTTCCGCTCAGCGCTCTAGACCAATACCCTATCACTCCAGTGATGATCAAAGAGTTTCGCGTCTGTATGTTTGTCTGTCGATCTGTCTGTCTAGACGCACGATAACTCGAAAACGGTTTGAGCTAGGAGACTCTCATTTTTATTGTAGCTTTGTATCATAAAAAGGAAAACCTATATTGATTTTGAGCCCTCTGGCTCAAAAATTAACTTGTCAAAGAAATCATAAACAAAAAGCCTAAAACATTTCTTTAAGAAAATATTTTTTACATCTTTCTAAAAGGTAACTCGTCAAAGTAGAACCCTGTGGACCAAAACTTTGCCCGTTTGGCTCTATCTCTAACCGTTTGGGCGCCAGAGGGTGTTTTTCCCAAAACATTTTAATGCTAGCTCTCGGTACATGATGGTGTCCGGTGGAGTAACTAATCAAACTGAAACCTCGATGAACAAAAAATTAGTGACTTTTCGAGCCAAAGGCCTATTAACGGCCCGACTCAGGGGTCAGCGCCGCAGGCCTAGGTAGATGTATGCCAGGCGCATCGCAGCGTAACAGTGTTTCGTGAGATCGCGAAGCCTGTTACGCGAGACGTGGTCTGGCGTACACCTACCAAGTTCTGAAGTAGTTGTTTCAGGTTATTTTTATGAGTTAAAACGAGTCAGGTGATCAAAACTAGGTAACAATTATGTTGGTAGGTCGACGGCCTTCACAAGAGCTAGGATTCACAAGAGCTAGAGCCACAACAGCTAGGATCCACTAGAGCTAGGCGTCGCAAGAGCTAGAGTTCACAAGAGCTAGTCGTCGCAAGAGCTAAAGTCCACAAGAGCTAGAGGCAAATCGACCGTTACCGTTTGACGACAATACTCAGCGGTTCGCGCTGGTGTAAGTGCGTAGATCGAGGGTCCGTGTAGTTAAACTGTGCGCACGCATGCAAGCATGATTCACTGTGAAAAATACCGTAGGCAGGTACGGTTTGCCTACGGTCTGTACCGTATTCTTAGCGTACGGTCAGGCCATAGCAGTATGATGTGTACTTTCTTGGTTTGGCTAAGAGCTAAGAGCTGTGTTCGACTTATCCAACAATTTTTCTAGTTACAGTCTGCTCTGTATGACACGGACCGTAACCAAAACTTACGGTCCCGGACCAGGCAATAAATTTACAGCGCAGACCAACCGTGTGTTTTTTTAACAGTGACGTTGGGCGTGCTGGGCGTGGTCGCGGTGTCTGTGTAGTTAAACTATGCGCATGCATGGGTTGCTTGTGGCGTACTATCTTTGCTAATATTGGGTGTTTTGATGGCAGAAAATAGATGAGTGTCGAATTTTAACATATTTAGGATTCAACAAGAGGATACAATGGGTGAATTTGAGTTAATTTGAATTAGCAGACGCCCACCGCTCGACTTAGCTGGCTTTATTTTCTATACCGTGCTTGCGTATCTGCCAACTATTATGAACCCATCTAAATCCCCAATGTTATCCTAATGTGAAATCCTAAATATGTTAACATTTGACACTAATTTATTTTCCGCCATCAGAACACCAAATATTAGCTAAAAGAGTGAGCACTGTTAAAAATTTGGTCGTAATTTTACGACATTTTGAGGGTTAAGTTTGTTAGCGACAGGTGTTGTAATTTAACGACATTCTGGTAACGACTTTTTTGTAAAATAATGACTTAATTGTTAATTAACAACAAAAATGACGTATGTTACTCTGGCCGAGGGTGCCTGATCTTGAGTCGTAATTTTACGACTTTAGTTGTTATGGAACAGCATTTGTCGTTTATTAACGACCCAAAGTCGTTCCAGGGCGACATGTGTCGTATATTAACGACCCAAAATTGTTCCAGAACTACATTGTTACATAGGAATATATTTTTCTCAAAATGTGATTTAGAAATGAGATTAATGAAAGGAAATTAAACAAGACTTTTACTGAGGTGTTATTATCATGTATGATCATATTTACCTTGTTTCTCACCTTGTGTAATTTGTTTTAAAACGGGAAAAAATAGGGTTGTCAAGAAACGCCAGTCAATTAATTTTACCTGTTTCTTTTGACTGTAGTAGTAGTAACTTACAACTACTTTGTCAACAATTTACAAATGACTCGTATTTTAACAAGCGTATAGTCGTTTTTAATAAAACAAAATCTATTGTTATAAGACGAGCGTGTTGTAATAATACAACATCCCAATCGTTTAGATTTCAACAACGTATTCATCGTTTTTAAAAAAAACAACTTGAATTGTAATCTAACAATCTTGTCGTACCAAAAAATGTCGTAAATTTACAACTATTTTTAACAGTGAGCCGCAACCTTCCCATGCACGCATGCGCACAAGTACATAGACCCTCGATCTACGCACTTGCTCCGACGCGAACCGCTGAGTATAGTCGGCAAACGGTAACAGCCGATTTGCCTGTAGCTCTTGAGTACTTTAGCTCTTGTGGACTCTAGCTCTTGCGGCTCTATCTCTTGTAAATCCTTGCTCTTGTGAACCGCCCCGAGGTACGTTCCTTTTTAAACAAATCAAACACCAAATAAGTTCCGGAAACTTTGGGTTTGTAAAGGAACGACACTTTACATACTTGAGTCATTTTTCCTAATTATCACCTAACGCGCAAGATTTCAGAAGCTAGGATAATGATAAAACCTCTCTGTAACTTCTAAAATATTTGGAAGACATGTCATTTAGGGCTGCACCAAAGAAAACAGCAGAAAATTATTATTTAAAACAAGAAAATACTTTTGGAGTATATTTTCAAAAATGTTATAAATGTCTACAAATGCTCCAAAGTTATTTTCTTGTTTGGAATCTTCAATTTGTTTACATACTTTTACTTCGGTTTCGATTTCCTTGCAGTAGAATTCCCCCTTCCTTTACTTCTTTGCTGAATGTCAAGGTATACAGAAACTTACTTTGATGACATCTCGCAGAAGAGCAAGAGTGGCAAAAGCTAGGGATCGTAGACGGCCGAAATAGCCGATGGGACCCATTATGTAGCAGCCAGCAAGGAGCCCTTGGAATTTTTGTCTGTGTACGTGGTTCATGAAAAGAAGAGCGGTGCCGGCCTGGTCAACCCCGATTAGTCGCAGTCTGATGCTTCCAGTCTTGTTGGACACGAATTCCAGCTGAGCTGGGAGATCATAGGCGCCCCAGTGGTACGGACTGCAAAAAAAAAAATAAAAAAAATAATTGTCAGTAGGGTATTCTTCTTCAAGGCTACAATGTTACCGTCAGTCTGCTAGTACTTCAAGTTTCTGTGACTTGTACTCTCCGATATCAGCGTAAAATATTGGTAATTGTATAGGAGAGTGAATCATTAGCTTTAAAGTCACTCTTGCAATAGGCTTTCTGAATAGAATCAGGACCACTTTTAACCCTTTACGGCTCTTGTCGTTTATAAAGTACATATTGGGAAATCGCAGATATCAGCGGGACAGTAAGACATTTTTCCGGCTCCGAGAGTTGGTTTTTGTAGAGGTGGTCTTGGGGAATTGATGTGAGGCCCTCTCTTTCTGCACAGAGGACGTCTAAAACGGGCCCAGAGCCGATTGTAGAAGGCGTTCCTTCACACTGTGTGGAACGCTTAGTTACGGGGCCCCGAGACGCATTTTTCGCATGTGCCATGCCCTACTTGAGTAGTTTTACATGTCTTGGTGGGTACTGACCAATTGCTGATCGAATTCAGCGCCTCGGGGGACGATTGGCATCTACACCACCCCCCTAAGGTAGGCCTACCCACGGAAAAAAAGGTTGTCGAGGTTCGAGTCTCATTTTAAAGAACACACCTTGCCATGCATTTTAGTCATAGTCCGAGCTCTGTACGACGAAAGATGGCCGGGCGCCGTGCTCTTTTCGGTTCGGCCTCTCGCGGCGCTCGGAGTGCCTCGCCATGTTGCGGGCCTCCTCTCGCACGGCACGCGAGGCCGGCGGAGGCGACTCGGTGCCGAGGTGATTCCCTATGGTGTCTACTTTCGGCCGATACCTTAAAATCCACGATCGGCGCAACCGTGTCTCCTCCAGGGGCCTAAGTCTCGGAAACCACGCTACTCGAAATTGACTGAAAACTATCGAAAATAAGTGGGGGTTTCTTGGTAATCAGATCAGTTTCGAGCTCCCCTCCATATTTGAGAAGTTAGGATCGGGCCAAACTACCATGGTAGTTTCTCATACTGGGCTGACGGATACAGATAAATCAGTGAGTTTGTTCTTTTTCACTTCCGTTTCAGATAGCCTGGAACACCCTATTTAAACCCGAGACGTCTCCTCTAACCCCACTGTGTCAGCACGGCAGAGCCAATAAGTTAGCGGGTCGCCGCGCGCCAATCAGTGCCTCCAAAAGGGCTGGCTCTTGCGGGCTGAATGCATTTTGCTCGCAAGCGAATTAGCCCGCAAGGATTTCCAATTCTAAAATTTTCATATTATTTTCAATAAACTTTACGTTTTGCCTTGACGTACCTAAAGAATGGCATACTTTCGAAAGACCTGTGTCCAATCGTAAAATGTCAGGAGAAGTACCCCCCAGAACAACACATTCTGAATGAGGAACTACCCTCGGATTCGGATTAGCCGTATCTTTCACTGTTTCGGCCCTGGAGGTGGATATATTGAAAACAATGGCAAAAAGTCAAGTTTTAGGACTGCTTGACAAACATTAGACAATCTAAAAACTGCGCAAGTTTAGTTTTTAATTCTTATGCAAAGCAGAAGGGTGGGGTGTAGTCACGGTGTTGCCCCGTTACAGTCGTTTTTGTCATGTCCAAGGAGCAAATTTCTAGTGCCGCAGGCCCCCCGCCGGACGCCTCAAATATGCAAAGTGATTTACCGGTCACGTTATTTATTTGATTATGCACTACAGTGAATCGCGAGACTGAAATGGTCTGGAGTGCATAATTAAATAAATAACGTGACCGGTAAATCACTTTGCATATTTGAGGCGTCCGGCGGGGGGCCTGCTCCACTAGAAATTTGCTCCTTGTTGTTTCCATTGCCGTTTTGAACATGTGGTAATTACGTGCATGGCGACTGTAACGCAGGCACACTCTCTTTTCTTTTCATTATAACAATATTATACGATCGAACTTTGACGTATTTTATACGGTGAGTGCATTCTTTAGGTTATATACTTTATTTTAGTGGACGCACATATGCCTCTTCCAACCGTTTAGGGTATGAAATCTGATCATTTAGTTACCTCGGTCGGGTCGTATGTGCGAGAGGTTTTAGGAAGTGTCACGGACAAAAGTATTTCGTTTCTTAATGACTGAAAAGGTGATTTTGAGAACTTGACCTGGTTGTTTTTAATAGCTGCAACAGTTAGTTGCACCAAAATAATAATGGGACCACTTCTAATCAAAGGAAATAAAAGTAAATTGCAATTGAATGTTGAGGGTGGGCTTCAGGGACAGCGTCAAGGGAACGTTACAGGACACATTTCATTCAGTTTTATAGCTCAGGATGAGTTAAACGTGACAAAATAGCACCACAAATTCTGGAACCGGGCTTAAAGTACAACTCTAATGGAAGTTTTGCATCGAGTAATGCTGTAAGTAGCACCAAATACCCTCAGGACAGAGATGTGTATAGTTTACTGACATTTACCCATATGTCAAGAACCGTTTGAGCTACAGCGCCCAGATTTTGCAGGCAATTATCTTTCAGTTAGTACTTTCCATGAAAAATAATTGAATCAAATCCTTGTCCGTTTTAAGCAGTAACTCGTCATTGTTGAGCCAAAGATCCAAAATTTTGTCACTTTCGACTTAGAACCGTGAAAACAATACATAAGTTAAATGCACTTGCGGAGATGGGGGGGTGGGGTAGTTTAGTCAGTTGAACAAAAAAATGCAACCCGTGCACTCCGTTTTATGCCGAAGACGATCGGATACAAAATGGCAGCATTAGTCCCCCCAAAATTGGAAATTTTATCCTTTAAAAGCTGACAACTTCGAATGTGATGTTTTCATCTTTAATTTACTTTGCAAGGTAAGCCAAAATCTGTCATAACACTAATACTTCCTAATGACATCTGAAAATTGCATAGTCTTAAGGGCGCACTGGCGTGCACGCAGTGCGCACAGCCTCGGTGGCCGCCGTAGGTGTCAAACCTGTACACAAGTTCGTTGCGCTTATAAACGCCGCGTACGCGGTGTGCATGCGATGTGCAAGCGACTAGCACGCGGCACACGATCCACTTTATCACGGGTTTTAAATTAATAAAGTTTTTCACAGTGAAATTTTCACTCACTAGAAGTCCCAGAACTGCGCACTGGTATCGCTGAGCGTTGTGTGCCGTCGGCCAAACAGGTAACCCCTGAACGTCAGCAGCCAAACGTCGTAGCATCGGCGAGCCAATCGATATGCTGTCAGTAACAAAACATTTGAAATGCTAAAGGCGAAGAACATGGCCACTGTGGCCCTCAGATAGAAGCGACTTGAATTTTCTTTTTTCAGTTTCCGTTGAGGCACTATTTTACATTATTCACACAATCAAACTGTCGCACACAGTGCATTGTTTTTTTAATCGGCCAGTTATTGTGACAGTAACGAAAATCCAAAAGTGATGTCGGTCTAATAAATTTAAACGATCTACGTTTCTGTGGCAATTTTATCGATTCCTGGCCCAGTCAACAACAGTGGTTTCACATCTATTGCGATAGCTGGCCGATAAAGATTTTCGTTCCCAGAAAAAAGATGGTATATACATAGAATCAAATCATTCTTCTCATTTCGTCTATCGCACCGATAGTTCGTGTCTTTTTTCTCCTTTTGTCTGACAGTCGTACGACAGTTCTGCGCTACTAGGGAAGGTAACCGTATGTTTCAATCCTACAAATCGACTTAGTTCTTTTGGACAAACAAAATGGTATAGACCTTTCCGCCCGCAACGGCAAAAGACGGCACGACGAAAAACCCAAATAAAACGCAGGACGCACTGCCCCCGTCACACACTGCCCCACCCACTCTTACATTGAGGTAGAGTGATACATCAACTGCCACGAATAAATTTTTGCAAAATTGGTCAACCTTGACCGAGTTCTCTAGGAACTGCTTCTGGATGATTACGGAAATGGTCAAATAAGTAACTTATTGAACCGAACAAATGTTTAAATAGTGTCAGATTGTTTTAAACTGAAGGCTGTTGAGGTTCTGACAGAGTGACATTTTTCAGAGCATACACCACCTAGGCTGTTTTCCTTTAAAAGAATAAAGGAAGCGGCGTTGGAGAGAATTCCTGGAGGGAGGACTACGACGGCACGGTACGCAGTGCAATTCCCACTGCGTAGCCGGAAAAACTCAAGAATGTAGCCGTCAGATGTCGTCACATTGTAGGCTTCGCTGGTAAAACCGAATTTGGGAGCCTCGCGATCCTAGAAAAAGAAGTAAATAAGCTACTACTACACCGATATAAAACGTTCACCCACAACAAATGTGCCTGAAACAAGAAACCATCTTCCTAGGTGTCTAAGATCAGATTAGTAAAGCAAGATTTTTGGTTGTTTGATGAAGAATTTGATTTTACATGGAAAGGCATAAAATCTTTACGTATAAAAAACATTTTTAGTCCCACTGTAAATAAAAGTGGGGATTTAAGAGTCAAAATCGGTCCGAATAGTTTAGAAACACACGACTTTCCAAAACGTTAAACAAATTTTACAGACTTTTTCATAGAAATATTTTTTTAAAAATCGGAAATAAAAAGAGGGATTATTTCACAACAGAACTGAGTTTAGTAACATCGAAAAAGACAATTTGCAAATAGATTTAGAAATGTTATCTTGTAGAGGAATTTCCAAAATGTCCGGGTTGCAAATTTTTGCAGTTAATTGTTTGGAAATTTCCAGTAAAAGCTATTTGCAGTCCTTAGTAACACAAAACCGTCACACATAGTGTAATTTTTTTCAATGGATAAATTAGTGGTAAGATATCGAAAATTCAAAAGTAATGGCTTTTCTGCAGTCAGACGATTGTTGCTGGTCTACAAATTTCAACAATCTACCATTCTATATTATACTTTTATCGATTTCTAGTCGAAGACACAACGGTGGTTTTTCGCTTTCAATGCAATAGCTGGGCGATAAAGATTATCGTTTCGAGAAAAATATGCATTACAACGATGCAAATCATTTTTCTCATTTCGTATATCGCGTCGATAATACGTAGAATTTTTTCGTCTGTTACCGATTCGTGCGAGAGTTCTGAGCTTCCAGGGCGTGCAAATAACCCAAAATGGTAGAGGAAGTACTCTCTTAAACCACACATTAATTTCTCGTCGAACCACACCTTCCCAGGGTTTTCGGTGACTTGATCTTCTATGACGAAAAAGTTAGTATTTATATGTGAAATTAGAACTCTTAATAGATACTTTTCTCCCAATATGTTATGTTTCGCTTGCCTAAAAATAATATTTTTTGCAGTGTTGCAAAAGAAATCCTCTTACTGGTCTAATGATAGGAGGGACAGGCAGTGAAACGTTTGCCAACGCTCCTACTACAGACGTGAGGCTCGTAACTACATCAGAGCTGAACTGCGTCAAGTTATTTTGCAAACTAGACTGCAGTATTGGGTTGAGCACGGAGAAATAGGGTGACAAGCTCGCCACAATACTGCCAAGCCCCGGCAGGAGGTTTTCGACTGGATCCAGCAGAGGAGACAACAAGAGCTCTGGAACTAACAAAACTGTTATTATTCGCTAACCCTGAAAACGCCCCTTCTGCCCAAACAGGTCACCCTAAACTTAATACGACTGTAAACGACGTTAAAAGTACACTATTACGAAAAGGCGTTTTCAGGATTTTATATTTTGCATTACAGAATGCAAACAAGGGCAGGGACGGAGTTCATTCGCAAAAATATATACGCACCAGAAAAAGCTGTTTGTCTCCGTCGCTACACCACACCACCTGATCGCGTTTCGCTCCGACTTATTGGCCGGAAAAAGTTGAGATCTTGTCATACTCTCGTGACGTAGTGCTACCAAACCTTTAGCTGAAACCGTCTTAGCTGTAGTGTGGTGGCTGATTAACTCAGAAGCATGAGCCTTGAAACTCGTGGAACTACTAACTTGGAGAACCCGGAGCTCTGCATGCATACCAGCTAGCCTAACAAATGAAGACTCAGGGTGAAAACCCCTTTCAATGTGGACTTTACAACTAGGCGGGATATTTAAGTCTGTAGTGTTCCTATTCCTATTAAGTTTTTGCACAGGCAGACGTCTGACAGACAGCTTATTGATCGTATTGTAGTATTATAGGCACTAAACCAGTAGTTCAAGTACTGCTGTCATTCTCATGACTGTCCGCCTCGAGTCAGTCTAGCCTCGTACAAGTCCTTCGCAGTGTTGTCCTTAGTAACGCCTAACAGTCAAGCCACGCGTTGGCTCAGTCTAGTCCCGGTCTCAAGCTGACTACACGACTGTACCGAGTTCTCCAATAAATCTCTTGGTTCTCAGCAT